ACAGCTGCATGGCTGCACTCGTCGCTCAGGGGTGCTCTGAGATTCGGTGGCTTGCAGAGAAGGGAAGAGGCGAGATCTGTGGAGGGCTGGGTGGCTGGGTTGGAGGGATGGGTGGGTGGGTGGAGGGGGGTGGATGGATGGATTCATGGAGAGACGCAACAATGAGTAGACAGAGGGCTGAAAAGGTGTCATAGGCATTCCTTTGTTCACCTTCCTCCTTTCACCCTTTCACACCTATCTCCTCCTTTCCAGCACCCCACCCACCCAATCCGGCAACCCCCCTCCAACCCTCTCGGATGGGTTATAAGTCCACTCTAGCAGCCTAACTGGCACGTGGGACATGAACCTCATGTGATTCGTGACTCTCCCTCTCCCTTCTTCCCACCCCACCCCACCCCACCCCGCCCCACCCTCCTTCAAAAACAACCCAGATGGGCGCGAAACCCACCACACTCGCTGGCCTGAGCGGCACGGGGGACATCATGCTGACGTGCTTCGTGTCCCTCTCCCGCAACCGCACGGTGGGCGTGCGCCTGGGGTCGGGCGAGAAGCTGGAGGACATCCTCTCCTCCATGACCCAGGTGGCTGAGGGGGTCGCCACGTCAGGCGCCGTGATTTCCCTCGCCCGCAAGTACCGCGTGCAGATGCCCGTGCTGACGGCTGTGGCGCGGATTCTGGAGGGCAAGCTTGAGCCCAAGGAGGCAGTCATGGAGCTCATGAGCCTGCCGCAGGTGAGGGTTTAGGGTTGCCTCGGTGATCTCTGTGGTTGCTGGTTTGTTGGGTGGGTGATTTCGGGGTGATCGCCGTCATCTCGCTCGCCCGCGAGTACCGCGTGCAGATGCCCGTGCTGATGGCTGCTGCGAGGTTTCTGGATGTTAAGCTGGAGCCCAAGGAGGCTGTCATGGAGCTCATGAGCCTGCCGCAGGTGAGGATGAGCTGTGTTGGCTGAATGATTGATGTTTGATCTCTCTTTCGGCTCATTGGAGATGCACTTCGTTGGATTTCATGAGTCTTGGTTGGTCTGAAAACAAACCATGAGCGGAGGCTGGAGGGCAAACAGGAGGTCAAGGAGGCTGTCACGGAGCTCTTGTGTTTGCTGCAGGTGAGGCTGGTGCGATTGCTGGATGATAGATGATGTTGGCTCTAATGCTTCTTATTGGCTCTAACTTAACATTTGTGATGTTGGCTCCCCACCTGTGGTGTGGTTGAGCTGAAATGTCTCTTGTATGAGATGTTGCTGATATGCCAACTCCTTGATTTACTTGGTTTCGATCGTTGCAGGTCGAGGAAAAGTAGTGCATTGCGATCTGATCAGGAACCATGGACGAATGCAATAAATAGGCGTAGTAGTGTGGTGTGTTTTCGTGACTGTGACAGCGTGCTTAGTGTTTTTCTTTTACAATTAGTATATTGAGATGCACTCTGCATGTGCGGGGTAGCCACGCTCAAAGATTGATGTGAAAGGATTACATCCTGAGCGTCCTCATATATCAGTGTTTGTTTGGCTAACAGCGTGTTTGCATATGCAAAGCAATTACGTTTCAAGAGTAAATCTGACCAGCACAAGATGTGCTTATTGTTTAGGGTGTTTCATACAGTTAAAAGGCACAAATTCATTTCCGTGCCAGGGAAACCAGGAAAAGAAACGGCGGTATGGGAATAAGAAAGGGGAACAAGAATCGGCGGTATGCGAACAAGCGCCTCTTGGTTCGATTATGATTTACAGGGTGGCATCTTGTGCATTTCCGAGCCCGAACCGAATCTAAACTCCACTTACCGTATGGCCCCGGATATAGGCGCCGTCCGATTAAAGGCGCCGGCGCCTCTATCTGGAGCATGGCGCTTATGGCCGGAACTCGATTATAAGCGCACCCCCTGAAAATTCTATCTTTATTATAAGCGCATCCCTTAACCTTTCATTGGAGGCATTACAAAAGAATTTACTAAATTGTCACTTTTTCTAAGCAACATCAAATTAAGCTAGATCTCCTAACAAGTTTAGCCGGGGTAATTCTACCTACGGTAACATGGATCATACAGTAACCCTCCTACTCCTCCTCGTCAGATTCGGGCTCCTGGCAGTTGTTGCCAAAAAAACCATCAGCGATGATGTCATCGTCGACATCCACTTCAGCTGTCAGCTGGCTCCGCCTGTGCGCCATGGCGAGTCCGTCCTCACTGCCGTCAAGCTGGTTGCTGATGCCACAGGTGAGGAAGGCATGCTTGATGAGGTCGGCGCGCACTGCCTTCCAGGCTTGTGATACCCACCGCAGGACGACCTCTGGTGAAGGCTTCTTCAGGTTCCCTGAAACATTACGGGAGAACGGTGGAAAGCAGTTAGCGCAACAACAAAGAATTCGGGGGGGGGGGAATACTGTACTCATGCCATACCTGCTGCCGTCAGCTGCTCTTGCCCCTCTGCCTCAAACCACCTCTGGTACTGCTGGCGGACCGACGCCTTAAAGCTCTTGTTGATGCAGACATCGAGCGGCTGTACCTCCGCCGTACAGCCCGACGGGATGATCGCCGGCACGCAGTTCATCTCGCGGAGCTTCTCCTTCACCTCCTCGGTGAGGTGACCGCGGTAAGAATCCAGCACCAGCATCGAGCTCTTGGCGTGTCTGCCGAACCGAGGCTTCAGGAACGGCTTCACGCACTCCTCAAGCCAGCGAACGACGCCAGGGGAGTCCATCCACCCGTTCTCGTGGCAAGCCACGGCCACATCTGCATGAAACACGCACGGGTGGTTAGAATTCGAACTCTGAAAAGAACGCAGTGATCGAGCCGTGCACCTCTTTACTTACCGGCAGGGAAATCGCCCTTCGGCAAGGTTTTGCGCTTGAAGAACACCCACGGCTTCAGCTTCCTTCCGTCCGCCGTGCACGCCGACATCACGGTCACTCTCTGCTTCTGATACCCCGCGCTCCTGATAGGCACCGAGCGAACACCCGTTTCCTCCACGGTGGTGGTGGCGGGCATCTCCAGCCAGAGCGGCGTCTGGTCCGCGTTGATGATCCACGCGGTGTCGATGCCGCGCTCACGACGCTTGGCACGCACGAACTGCCAGAAGCTCTTGCACTGATCAGCGACATCTGCACGGCGGTGGAAGAGACGTCGGAGACAGACGGAGGGCGTTAGTACAATTAAAGAAAATCAACGTGCCAAATTGAACGGGGTAATTCTCACGCGCTGCGGTTTTCTGGGCAACCCGGGTCTTCATGCGGACGCTCAGATTCCATCGCCGCCGAAAGCGCTCCGACCACCTCTGGCTTCCTTTCCACTTCTTGTCCGGGTACAGAAGCTTCATGAACTCCCGCGACCACTCCTGCAAGCGGCCGACTGACACGGTGGTTCCCTTGCGGCGCCACTCGAGTAGCTTCTCGTACACCTTCAACTCCATCGGCCGGTACCACGACGCTCGCCCGCGGCCGTGCATGCGCTTCCGAGAGGAGTGAACATCCTTGAGGAATTCCGCCGCCCGCTTCCAGTTGGTGAGACACTTCCGGTGGATTCCGCTCTCGCGAGCCAAGGCGCGCACCGACACCGCCAAGTCCATCAGAGCAACCCACTTCAACTTCTCCGCGGCGGTGTAACCTTGCCGCTTGTGGTCGGTGAGCTTGTGCCTGGGAGAGGGGGGGCGGGCATCACGGTTCTGTGAAGAGGGGTGGGGTCGCTTGCGATTATTCGGAGGATAGGTTGGTATGGGCAGTTTCTCGGGTAGCCCGTCGCGTGACCAGTACTCAACGCCGTCGTCGTCAGCGTCGCCCGTAACACCTTCTGGAAACACATCGTCAGCGGTGCCGCCCTGGGCGCCGCCCCCCGCGGAAGCCTCCGTGCCACCCTCGGCGCCGTCAGCGCCGCTCGCTTCCTCTGCGTCAGCAACATCATCGTCGGCGCCGACCGCAGATTCGTCCCAAGGGCAATCGTTGGGCTGTCCCCAACGTCGTCCAGGAAAGTGTTCCACTTCCACGTACTCATCTTGCGCCTTGTTAGACTCCGGTTCGGAGAGGTATTCGTCGAACGCCGATGGGAGCAGTATCGTGAGCACGGGCTGATTGCCAGTGAGTTGCGGAGACACAGGACCCAGAGGCGGAGGAGCAGGAGGAACAGGGGGTGCAGGAGGTGCAGGAGGCGAAGGAGGAGCAGGAGGCGCAGGGGGCGCAGGAGGCGCAGGAGGCCGTGGTGGCTCTGGTGGTTCTGGTGGGATACGGGAGTACCACCCGTCAGCGTCTACTCTAAACGCGGGCCTTCGCGTAGGCTTTTTCTTGAACAAGAAGTGGGTGCCGCTGAATTCCGCCATGGCGGCGGCAGCCAGGCGAGAACTACCAAGAACCCGAACGAGAAACTGAGAGAGATGGAGAACAAATGAGAGATTCAAAGGGACCCCTTCTGGTTAGCGCCTCGGGGTCCTCGTCGGGGAGAGACGGGTACCCCCTGTCTGAACCCGGAGAGGAGGTTATCGCGGCACGAAGATGCTGCGCTGGCAGGGCATTCCAGTCCCTTCTCGATGGTTCGGGTGAAATGCAGCTGCCTGCCAGCGCATGAAAGCCTGATTGGGCCGCAAGGCAACTTTCACGTCAGCGCTGGCAGGTGCGCTGCTCCTGGACGGGATTTGTGCGGTCGGGAATCGAAGCGCAGCAGTTTTCGGCGGGATTACATGCATTATCCCACGTGCACGTTACTCAATTGTGTTCGCCTTATTGCGGGCTTCGATTTGGTACATAAAAATAACAAATTCATTTTTGCCATGATATAAGCGCCGGCGCTTATGGCCGTTATTCAATTACAAGCGCCACCCCTAAAAAAAATGATTTTATTATAGGCGCATATGCGCCTATATCCAGGGTAATACGGTACAGTAATTGTACATGTTTTCTGTGTTTTCTGTGCACAGAATAAAGGGTTAGCGAGCAGCGGGGCGAAGCATCTGTGCGACGGTGGCGAAGCATCTCGCGTCCCACCCTGTCACCTCCCGGAATAATCCAATTTCCCCCTCTCCAATGCCTCCCCCTTTCCGATCCCTTGCCCGGTCCTCAGCATCAACTTCTCTTGGGCAGTGCCCTCCCTGTTTTCCTCTCCCTTTCCCCCTGTCCTCCTCTCCCTTTCCCCCTGTCCTCCTCTCCCTTTCCCCCTGTCCTCCTCTCCCTTTCCCCCTGTCCTCCTCTCCATTTCCCCCTGTCCTCCTCTCCCTTTCCCCCTGTCCTCCTCTCCCTTTCCCCCTGTCCTCCTCTCCATTTCCCCCTGTCCTCCTCTCCCTTTCCCCCTGTCCTCCTCTCCCTTTCCCCCAGTCCTCCTCTCCCTTTCCCCCTGTCCTTCTCTCCCTTTCCCCCTGTCCTCTCCCTTTCCCCCTGTCCTCCTCTCCCTTTCCCCCTGTCCTCCTCTCCCTTTCCCCCTGTCCTCCTCTCCCTTTCCCCCTGTCCTCCTCTCCATTTCCCCCTGTCCTCCTCTCCCTTTCCCCCTGTCCTCCTCTCCCTTTCCCCCTGTCCTCCTCTCCCTTTCCCCCTGTCCTCCTCTCCCTTTCCCCCTGTCCTCCTCTCCCTTTCCCCCTGTCCTCCTCTCCCTTTCCCCCTGTCCTCCTCTCCCTTTCCCCCTGTCCTTCTCTCCCTTTCTCCCTGTCCTCCTCTCCCTTTCCCCCTGTCCTCCTCTCCCTTTCCCCCTGTCCTCCTCTCCCTTTCCCCCTGTCCTCCTCTCCCTTTCCCCCTGTCCTCCTCTCCCTTTCCCCCTGTCCTCCTCTCCCTTTCCCCCTGTCCTTCTCTCCCTTTCCCCCTGTCCTCCTCTCCCTTTCCCCCTGTCCTCCTCTCCCTTTCCCCCTGTCCTCCTCTCCCTTTCCCCCTGTCCTCCTCTCCCTTTCCCCCTGTCCTCCTCTCCCTTTCCCCCTGTCCTCCTCTCCCTTTCCCCCTGTCCTTCTCTCCCTTTCCCCCTGTCCTCCTCTCCCTTTCCCCCTGTCCTCCTCTCCCTTTCCCCCTGTCCTCCTCTCCCTTTCCCCCTGTCCTCCTCTCCCTTTTCCCCAGTCCTCCTCTCCATTTCCCCCTGTCCTTCTCTCCCTTTCCCCCTGTCCTTCCCTCCCACCTTTCCTCCCCCTCTCTCACATCCCTTCCCTTTCCTACTGTCCTCTCCCACCATTCACGCTTCTCTCAGCCATCCCTTTCCCCCCTCCCCTGCCCCTCGCCTTTCCCCACTACCGTCCCTTCCCTTTCCACGACGTTCTCTCGTCCAGCCCACCCGACAGTACCAGCTTTGCTTGGCCACTGAAGGCTGTCTATCATATCTCAGTTTCCATGCTCTCTTCAATTTCCCTACCTAACATTCTTCAATAATGCGCAACGTTTCCTTCCCCTTTTCCCCTCCCCCCTCCTCCCTGTAAATGGACAGCTTCACCAATAGTGGATCGGAGTGTAAAAATCGGCTCTCCTTGGATTATGCCATGTTGTTTGCTTGCGATCCTTTGCATGATAAGGATTTCAATATGACATTCCAAGTCTTGCACGTCTGTACAGTTGATGTTCTTTCTCCCCATTAGAAATAATACTCTTGCAAATGGATGGATAAATAAACCAAAATAATCCTTGTAAGTGAAATATGTATTTTGCAAAGCTTTTGTGAAACATAAGGTTTATCGTTTTGCAATGTGGAGGTGTTATTGGCAGAACAATCAGCGAAAGGGAGTATGGGGGTGTTGATGTGGTCCCATTTCCCGTTTCGTGTGTGTTCCCCCCTTCCCTTCCCCCCACCCCTTCCCCCCCATTTTTCCTTTCGAGGTTCGCGACATTCGCCTTGGATGTTTTCATCGCAACACAACTTACACACTCGCTAGCCAATTGACTACCAGTACGGAACAAGACAAAAGCCGGCTTGTCACTGTTCCTAAGATAGTTGCACCACGGCTTTAATTCGTTCTTCCGTTTGACGTGGATCTCAGATCGTATGTACTGTAGTGCAGACAGACCCTCAACGACAACGACACGATGCGCAAGTCGGTCAATCGCACTATGGCTAGCACGAAAATTTCCCTCATCTCCCTGCATTCCGTGAATCGTGCTCATTCACTGCTCTCCTCCTCCCCACCCCACCCCACCCCACCCCATGAAAACACGAGGAGCTGGGCTGGGTTCTGTTCGAGAACGGTGAGTGGGGTTGTCCGTACTGTACATCGCAGTCAAGAGCTTCTGCGGCACAATTGGACAGTTCAACCCATTGAAGAACAAACGGGACGAAGGGGAGAAAGCATGGGAGTGAAGAGTGGAGCAGATGAGCACTGTCGCTCCGAGATATCAATCGGACTCGTTTTCTACAGGTCTGGAGCAAGCAATTGTAGGGTTTCGTGGGAGCAACACTGAAGCAATATAACCTCCGCTTCCCAAAATGTTTTTGGAAAAGAAGCGGATTGTCTTTCATTCTCCTTCGCCAATTTCGTAGAGCGGTGATTCTTATGCCTGGATTGACTCACACGATTCGTTTCCTAAGAATTTGACCGATATTCGAGACCTAAGTTATTTCTGGAAACCCAGACGGACATAGAATGGTAGTACTAATATATTATGGTGGACGAACCTCCTGATGTGCTTCTAGTACATTCTTTTGTATCTCTGCTGATAGTTCCCTGTAGTCGACGTAGTACCAAACTCCGAACATCACACTGACGGTGCTTCCTCGCGGCTCGAAATGCTGGACCGTCCAATTCAGAGCCGAGCGGCGCGTCTCAAGGAGGCGGGACGAGAGGGTTACAGGAGAGTGAAAAGGGCGGCGGATATCGCATGGATAAAGACAGCTCGCGCCGCGGAGCGTGTGAGACGCGTGGCGTTCACCTTCCTGCCATCCTCAGTCACGAAGCGCGCCAACCGCCGTCGTTCCGCCGCATCGACATCATCCGTCGTCCCTCATGCTCCCTCCCCTGTCACATGCGCAAGCCCCCTCCAAGCCGCGCCGGCAGCAGCATCGACGGAGTGCGGCCGTGAAAGCCAGCGTCGGTTCGGTCATTCGAGTACTTTCCCCACCCGCGCCTGCTTTAACGGAAAGCTGTTTCGCCCCCGTTTCCGCGTTCCGCGTTTCTCCTTCCGCGTTTCCCATTCCGCGCTTCTTCCGCCGCGTTTTCGCTCCACCCGCTCCACCGTGTCTACAGCCGCCGACTCTGCCGCTGGCAATCGCTCCGCCTCCTCTTCCCCCGTCGCCTCTCGCGCAGCTAGCAGCGCTCCGCCGTTAGATCCCCCCCCGGAAGACTCTGTCGCCACATCCGCCGCTTTCTTCGCATCCGCCTGCTTTACTTATCAATCCACTGCTTCCACGTCATCAACCAGCGTTTCCGCGTGTTCTTCATTACCTAGAAACATCTCTTCTTCCGCACCCTCGTTTTCTGCTCGTTGGAACCATTCTGACTTGCTCACCAACCCCACCGCCGCCGCCGCCACCGCCCCTTCCGCCGTTAGCCTGGTACTTTTTCCGCCTGCTTTCACAGAATCCGTTTCTCTCGCCGAAACTCGCGCCGAAACTCACGCCGCTTCTCTCGACGACTGTCACGCGATCCGCTCCTCGTCGTGGAAGCGCGCCATGTCGATAGCGATCCCGACGTGCGGAGAGGCACAGGAACCAGAATGTGTGGAGGCGGGGGAAGAGTCGGGGGAAACGGCGGAGCTGGCCACGGCGGAAACGGCGGAAGCGGCGGAAGAATTGGGGGAGTGTGATCGCCTGAGCGGCTGCGCGCAGGACACTGCGGTGGACATCGATTCGCTGTGGGAAGCGGCGGCGGCGGCGGAGCTCGAGGCGGAAGAGCGAGCGACAACGGCTGCGGCGGCAGCGGCTGGCGCGAAGCGATGGCGAGGAAGCTGGAAAGCAGTAACGCCAAGAAGCAGGGCTAATGCCGCAGCGCCTAAAACTCCGAAATTTGAAATCTCCACTGCGAAGAAAACGCCAACGCGAACGCCGGTTCTAACGCCGAGGGGGTTTGTTCTTGAACCTAAAAAGGGTTGGGGCGCGCTGGCGGAAAGTGTAGCTTCCGCGCTGGCGGAGAATCAAAGCGGGGCGGAGCTGGTGTACAGCGCAGCGGGGCCAGCGCACTCTCCAAGCTGTTGGCGGACTGCGGGTGGTTTTTCGGAAGAGGACTTTGTGAAGGATCGGCGTAAGTCGTTGGATAATGCGCGGAGTGGCGGAAATACAGTTTCCGCCATCAGCCCTCCACCGCCTTCCACCCCTCGGTTTCTCTCCGCGCTGCGCTCGTCCTTCAGGCGCTCAGCTCCTGATGCGGTGCCCCCAGTGGTTGATGGTTCGAGTCCCAGCGGCGGCGCAGGTTCTGTTTTTACTTTACGGGATCCTGTTACCGTTACTGTGCCACTTAGAGCAGCTGCGATCTCGACGAACATTTCAGGCGAAAACCCAGAAGCAGATACAGCGACATCGAGATTTTCGCCAACGGGCGTTCTGGTGTGTGAGGCCGATTCATGGAGTTCCCCTTATGAGGATCATCGCGACACTGTAGAGTGCGTGTCAGTTGAGTGGAGCAAACGTGCTACTACTATCCCATCTGCAACCCACAGCAAGATGAAACCTTCCAAAAGTTTTGACAACAATGACCTTAACTCCTCATCTAACAATGACTTTTCCGCATCAATATTACCATCTTCCACTTCCTCCCTTCGCTCCCGCCGAGGCCTTACTCCCTTTGAAAACCTCCAAACCGAGGAGAAGCATCCAGGCCAGGCAAGGCAGCCGAAGCTGCAGGCTCGTAATGGCGCCAGTGCACCTGACTTGAGAAATTTTGAGATAACTCCAACTCCAGCTTTTTTCGACGCGTCCAGTAGCAACAGAGTGACTCCTGAGCTGACTTGGGAACACCTTTCTGACTTCGCAGCAGGCAGGCTCGAAAGGGAGAGGCCTGTGGTTGGAAGGGGGTGCGAAGGGGGTGATATAAAAAGGGAGGAGGTGGAGAGGTGTGTGGTAGAGGGGGGTGTGGTGGAGTGGGGTGCACTGAAAGGCGGTGCGGTGGAGAAGGATGTGGAGGAGTGGGGTGCGGTGGTGGAAGATGATTGTGAAGAGCTGAAGAGCCCTGGCATGGCCCCTGCTGGCTGCTTCTGTGGGGTGGGAGGAATCCCAACCACACCTTTGGCCCAGCAGGATCAACAGCAGGCGTGGCACATACAGCAGCAAAGGAAGGTGTGGCAGCAGCATTTGCAGAAGCAGCAGCATCCGCACAGACAGCAGCAGCAGAAGCAGCACATGGAAGAGGGTTGGGGAGAGCAAGAGCAGGAACGGGAGGAAAAGGAGGACGACGATGAACGGCAGCGGTATTTGGAAGAGAATCAGCCCGACTGCGCAGCAGCCATGGGGTGCATGCCCTTTTCTATGAGCCGGAACAATCACCTCCAGTGCAACAGCCGCGGTAGGATGTTCAGCAGGAGCCATAGCAGCAGCAGTAGCAGCAGCAGAAGCAGCAGCATGAGCAGTGACACCTGGTTGCTCACATCGGTGGAAAAGCTTAGCGAGTCTGGTTTGGTAACCCCGAGGGGTTCAGGCAGGGATCGGTTCCGGTTTGAGAGAATGAGGAGTGGTGGCAGTGGTGGTGGTGCTACAGCCACTGTGGTTCGGTATGTGCCGCGGTTTGCCAGGCACAAGCACCAGCGGTCGGTCGTGAGGGAGGTGGCGAGGCATTCTCTCAACGACATGGTGGGAGTGGGAGTGAGGTGATGTGAGTTGCGGAAAATTTGCGGCAGAGAGAAAAGAGAGCTCATGCGGTGTGACTGCCAGGTGTCTTTTATCAAATGTCACTTGTATCAGTGGCTGTAGTGTGGTAGTCGCGTCTACATCAGTCGCGAATGTCATTTGTATCATACTGAAAGGAAATTTCCTTTTCCTTCGCGCCCCTGCTTACCGCATACAAGACCATTCCCGCCATCGGCACCCAAACAGTGAAACGTTACCCGCTCGCGACACTCGCCTCGACTACGACTCCCGCCACTGTTCACGACGCGACTCAACCTCACAGTTTGGTTGGTAACCCGCGCTTCGGACCTCCGCCTCGACATATCCCAACCTAGGCGCTAGGCCTGTAGCGCACCCCAATTCCTCGCATTACCGTTACCACTCTAGTTCGCTATATATTCTTCGCGCATGCCTTCGCTCATTGTATTGTTTTGCTTCGATAGTGCAATTCTCGTTCGATTGCACTTGTAACACTTGGTATTCAGAGCCTACCATCTCCTCTCGGGCCGCACCCACACCTTCGCTTCCCCACTACCGTCATCGCCCGGATATACGACATATATGTCTTATCTCGTGCACGGGCAAAAATGCTTGGGTTGTCTTGTATTTGGGACGGTTTAGGGTGTCTTATAAGTCTTAAATGGGCAAAGAACCGTTTAGAAGATGCCCCCTCGTTATACAATTGCCCCTAACCCCTACACTGGCTTAACTCATACACACAAATAGGTGTCTTATAATGAGGCTACCCCGTTCATAAGAGACACCCAGATAATAGACACCCCCTGTCTTCTATTCAACACTGTCTTATATCCAGGTGATGACGGTATATCATTTTTTGGGGGGGGATAGACGTCTCTCAACGAACAAACACCGCCGCTCGAAGTGCTCTCGCGTGAGCACGCACGGCCACGACAAAGGCTCTCGCTGAGCTTGCCCGACACCCCCGCCAGGGCCCGTGCTAGGAATTGGGGCACCCTGAGGCCTCAGGGCACTTATATAAAATCTTAAAAATGCCCTGATTTGTCAGGGCAGATTTTCAAAGCCTTCCTGTATGTTCAGGGCTTCTACAGACATTAATCCTGACCTGTCAGGGTAAAAAAACTTGTGTTCAGGGTTCAGATTTCAGCACAGACCAGACCAGACTCTGCTGAGCAGAGCAGAGCAGCATGGCACACGACGAGATGGGAGTGTGTCGAGAGTAAAGGGAAAAGTGATGTGGACTATCGAGAGAGTTGGTACAAAATAAAACCTAAGGGGTTGTACCCCACAGTGAGTACCCCACTAAAGCCTACCTAAACTATAACATATAAACATATGTTTGACACACCCCCATAGGCAAAGTGGGGGAGAACAGAGGGATATAAGGCCAGACAGCGAGTGCAAAACAAGCTCAGGGTGGATCACAACGTCACCACGCAGTCTGAGCACAAGCAAAAGGCCACAAGGCCAGTTCACATGCAGAGATATATGTGTAACAACAACAGCACAGTGATATCTACCTACAAGAGCAAGCATGCAGGTATACATATAGATCACAGTACAAACAAAGCCTACAGCAAGTGAGGAAGCGTGGGAACAAGGCCTAACAAAGTGCAGAAACGCTGATGATCACCAGGCGGAAGCGCCTTGGTGAATATATCAGCAGTGTTGGCCCGAGTGGCCACGTGTGCAAGACGAAGCTGACCACGCTGCTGCAACTCTCGAGCCAAGAAGTAACGCAGAGCGATGTGCTTCGTTCTGTGCTCCAGTCTGTGCTCCTGACACAAGGCAATGGCGGCCTTGTTGTCGACGTACATCACTGGAGGAGAACGAGGCCGCTCTCCCAAGTCGGTCAGCAGGTAGGTGAGCCAGCGTAACTCCTGTGCAGCCATGGATGTGGCGTAGATCTCAGCCTCACAACTGGAGCTGAGAACTGAAGACGAGCGTGTAGAACGCCAAGAAACTGAACCAGAGCCAAGGCTGAAGGTGTAACCCTGGGACGACCGCTGCGTAGCCTGGTCGTCAACCCAAGAGGCGTCCGAGTGACCAGTGAGGACAACGTCGCCCCGTCCTCCAAGCACGAGCCCCATGCCCGATATACTGCACAAGTAGCGCAGTACCCTCTTCGCAGCATCCATGTGCACCTTTCGGTGCCGACCAGGAGCCACGTAGCGAGCCAGAAGGCCAAGAGGGTACGCAAGGTCAGGTCGTGTGCACGTCATCAGGTACATGAGGCAGCCCACTAGCTCTGGGTAAGGACCACTCGGCTCTACGGACTCGTCCGAAGGTGGAGCTGAGAGCGAGTGACCTGTAGCCAGAGGAATGGCCCGTGCTGAGGACCAGGTGAAGCCGAAGCGCTGAAGGACCTGCTGCACCATGTGTGACTGAGTCAGTGTGATGGTGCGGCGTGCTCTGTCCTGGGTGATCTGCAAGCCAAGGTAGCTGCGCAGCTCACCCAGGTCTGTGCACGTGTGTCTCTTCTGCAGCTCCAACTTCACCAGGGCGAGAGCCTCAGTGTCAGCAGTGGCAAAGACCAAGTCGTCGACGTACACGAGGATGTAGAACGGCGGCAGCGAAGTGTCGGTGCGCAGAAACAGCGACGGGTCAGCAGTCGATGGAGCAAACCCAAGAGCCGCAAGTGTCATCCTCAGTGTTTCGTGCCACTCACGTGGCGCCTGGCGGAGACCGTAGACCAGCCGCCGGAGGCTCCACTGGGTACCAGGAGGGAACGACCCAGTGAAGCCAGGCGGGCGGCGCAGCCAGATCTCCTCGTGCAGGCTGCCCTGCAAGAAAGCTGTGCTGAAGTCAAGAGAGTGAAGCTCTTAGTCACGCTGAGCGGCAAAGTGCAGCAGCACCCGAAGAGTGGTCATCTTCGGGGTGAGGGAGAAGGTCTGGAAGAAGTCAACTCCCTCTCGCTGACTGAAACCTCGAGCAACGTAACGAGCCTTGAAGACAGGCGGAGAACCTGGCGGCCGCTTCACCCTGAAAATCCACATGCCACTGACGATGTTCGCCCCAGGAGGGGGAACCTCGTCGACGTAGGTGCCTGTGGACTTCCAGGATGCCATCTCTGCGTCCATGGCTGTCTGCCACTGAGAGGAGTAAGGACCCGTAATCGCCTCTGCGTAAGAGCGCGGGGTCGGGATGTCTGGAGCATCCGGGTCTCCCTCAGGGGCAAGCAGCATGGACACGAGATGAGGCGCAGCGGCTGCAAGACACTCAAGGTCCTCCCGCCTGTCCTCAAGGACGTCCGTGCCAAGAGCACACTCACCCCCGACGGACGGAGGATAGACAGACGCAGACTCAGTAACAAGACTAGCGGCGTAGTCTAGACGACAGGCAGCAGCAAAGTCAACAAGCTCAGCGACTAAGGCAGACGCAGCAGTAGACTCAAACGACGGGTTTGTGACAACAGTGGCTAGCAGACGCGTGACAGTAGGGTGAGCAGCACGAGCGCGGTCAGAATCAGGCTCAAGAACGGTAGGCAGAGAAGACGCAAGAGGGGACGGCAGGGGAAAACTCTGCGGAGGAGAGGAAGGACGACGGACTACAAGGTGGGTGCCGGGGACAGCCGGCTGACACGAACCAGGAACACGACGACCGGAACGACCAGAACGGACAGGCGAGACAGGATGTGACACAGGCTCACGACGCTCAGTAAGACCCCCTGTCTGCTCAGTGTAAGGAGAAGGAGCAGGCAGCGGCGAGCCAGGCTGTAATGGAAGACCAGTAGACGAAGGGAGGCTAAGAACCTGGCGAAGCACAGAGTCAGACGGTGGCTGAGACGACGGAGACGGTGGAGCAAAGAACAGGCGCGGTTGTGCACTCCTACCAGCACCAGCAGCTCCAGCACCCCCAGCAGTCCCAGCACCTCCAGCAGCTCCAGAACTCTCAGCTCCAGCTCCTCCAGGACCAGCTCCACCAGCAGCAGTACCCCCAGAACCGGCACCTCCAGTCCCAGGGTCTCCAGCCGCAGTGTCTCTAGCAGCAGCACCCTCAAGCTCAGAACCTCCAGCCCCAGTAGCTCCAGTACCTCCAGTACGAGCACCTCCGGGACCAGCACCACTCCCAGCTCCAGTGACGTCAGCAGAAGTACCTCCAGCGGCAGAGCCCTGAGCTCCAGAAGCGCGACCCTGACGTCGACCGTACCAGTCGTGCAGCTGCTATGAGGTGAGATGCACACGCGGACGAAGGCGGCTACTCCAAGGAGAGCGTGCAACAGCAGACTCAGAACCCTCAGTGCCAGCACCTGCAGCAGCTCCAGAACCTCCAGCGCCAGCACCCTCAGCAACTCTACAACCTCTAGCTCCAGCACCCTCAGCAGCTCCAGAACCTCCAGCAGAAACAACTCCAGTAGCAGAGTCACCAGCTCCTGCGCCTCCCGCAGCAGGGCCCCTAGCTCCAGCAGTGCGCCCCTGACGGCCAACGCACCACTCACGCAGCTACTGTGGGGTAACTCGGTAACCGGCGGAAAACGGTTGGTGGGCCCTAAAAAACAGTCCTAAAACGGTCCTAGGGACTTATGTTGCTCTGATACCATGTCGAGAGTAAAGGGAAAAGTGATGTGGACTATCGAGAGAGTTGGTACAAAATAAAACCTAAGGGGTTGTACCCCACAGTGAGTACCCCACTAAAGCCTACCTAAACTATAACATATAAACATATGTTTGACAGAGTGCTCCCTGTTTCCCCCATCTGATGCGTTTGATTGGTGCGTTGCGCAGGGTCGGAAGTGCAAGGGGGTCGCGAAGGCGGAAAGCAAAGCAATCCGCACGGGGAAAGCAATCCGCAGGGGGAAATTTTCCGGGGAACAAATTCCCCGGAAACGGTAAACCCCCCCCCCTCAAAAAACATAAACTTGTCAGGGCAAGCCTCGACATTCATCCTAAAGCTACAGGGAAGAACACCACAGCCGTCTTGATTTTCCAGGGCATTTCATATAATAACATCCTGAGAGATGAGGGTTAAAAGTGGCACTATTATGAGATTACAGGGCAAATTCAAATATGTATCATGAATTCAGGGTAATCATGATGTTTTGCCCTGATATCGTGGGGCCTGACCCCCGCCATGGCCGAAATTAATCTCGCGACACTGACGCAGGAGTAGCTCGACCGTCTCGTGCACCAACTCGAAGATTCGGCGCTCGAAATTGCGACACTCGCGGCGGAACGCGACTCCGCTCGCCTGCAATCGACGGTGAATGCACCAGCACCAACACATGCACCTGCAAATGCACCTGCACAATCGGAGGAGCCGATCGTCATCTCATCAGGCACACCGACACAGAACGACAGCGTGGGACAACGCTCAGGCGCAGCCAGTGATGGTGCCGCTCAATCTATGCCTGGCATGGAGAGGAACAGGGCCGCACCAAGCATACGAGGGCCTCGCGAAGCCCGTAGGTACGTGGAGTTCGCCGCAACGAGTGGCAACAACGACATCATGGCGCTGATGCCACTCAAGCCGCAGCGCCCACCCTGCTTCGATCCTAGCCAATGTGGAGGTCCGACAGTTCAATCGTGGGTTTTCACGATGAACGTTTTCTTTGACGCGAACTGTCAAAATCTTATAGTGCTTATTTTGTGTAGGCTATATGGGGAATCCCATAAGGGGTACAACACAATTAAGGTTAGCACTTGAACCCAACTCTTTCATAGCTCATCCATGTTAGAATCCTAGCGTGACTTAGGAGCCATGGCTAGTGAGTGTCGAGAGAATTGAGTGTCGAGAGAATTGGAAAGGAGAATAAGTGGTTTCACTAGCAAGAGTTGGGATACAAATACAACACCCTAAATTGGGTTGTACTCATTACGGAGTACCCCACTGCAGGCTAGATAGCAAATACATTCTGACACACCCCGATAGTCAAAGTGGGGTATAATCAGCAGAGCAAGCAGTCATAGAGCAGGTTCACAAGTACAAGCAAAGCTAGAGGCATACACAAAAGGCAAGTGAGGAGGAGGCTGGACTGTGAGAGGAGAGGAGATAGGAGGCGACGGCTGATGCTGCAGACACACGGGCAACAGGAGCGGCGCGCACTGTGGCTACCGGAGCCTTATCCCCGGACTACAGGAGTAACTGGCTTTGCGGCTAACTCTGAGCGGCAGGAGCAACGGACCCACAGGCGACAGGCGCAGCAGGCTCTTTGAGCTACCAGAAGCAGAGCCCCGGACTACAGGTGCTGCGGACGACAAGACGGCAGCCTCCGCTCAACCTCCCCCAACTGTCCCACCCCCCTTTCACACACCCCTTGCTGCACCCCTAGCTCCACTCCCACGTCACCCCCCTAGCACCACTCCCTCGGCTCCCACACACCCACCCCCCTCAGCGGCAGCTGCAGCAGTGGGAGATGAAGGTGGAGGAGTTGCCACCCCCATATCCGCCACCCCGCAGTGGCACCCACACCCGCCACCCCCATACCCTCCCCCCACTGCTGCACCTGCAGCAGGGGATGGAGGAGAAGGGGAGAGGGGGGGGGGGGCGGGGGGGGGCTGGTGCTGCAGATCCCCTCCCCCCCACTGCTGCACCCGCAGCAGGGGGAGGTAGGAGAAGGGAGGGGGGGGGGGGGGGGGCTGGTGCTGCAGATCCCCTCCCCCCCACTGCTGCACCCGCCACCCCGCAGTTGCACCCACACCCGCCACCCCCATACCCTCCCCCACTGCTGCACCTGCAGCAGGGGATGGAGGAGGAGGGGGGGAGGGGGGGGGGGGGGGTGGGCGGGGGGGGGCTGGTGCTGCAGGTCCCCTCCCCCCACTGCCACATCCGCAGCAGGGGGAGATAGGAGAAGGGGGGGGGGGGGGGGGCTGGTGCTGCAGATCCCCTCCCCCCCCACTGCTGCACCCGCAGCAGGGGGGAGGTAGGAGAAGGGGCGGTGCAGGAGCCGCTCGGGCGACAGCAGGTTGGCCACACCCGCCACCCCCATACCCTCCCCCCACTGCTGCACCCGCAGCAGAGAGATGGAGGAGAAGGGGGGGGGGGGGGGGGGAGAGAGAGGAGGAGGCGTGGCGACAGCTGCTGCTGCTGAGGCACATCCGCCACCCCCTCACACCCTCTCCCCGCCATCCCCATGGAGGGGGGGGGAGGGGGGGGGGGGGGGGGAGGGGGGCGGGGGTGGAGCTGCGCATGCGACTGTAGGGCACGCGGGCAGGAGGAACCCCCTCTTGCCACCCCCTCACCCACCATGTTGCAACAGGGCACCGGGGCCGCGGTTAGGGGCGGCAGGTCGCGAGGGGCCATGGCTAGGGGCGACGGGGCCATGGCTAGGGACGGGGCCGGGCGCTGGGCAGGTACGGGGCCGGGTGCTGGGCTAGGGACGGGGCCGGGTGCTGGGCAGGTACGGGGCCGGGCTTTGGGCAGGTACGGGGCCGGGCGCTGGTCAGGTACGGGGCCGGGCGCTGGGCAGGTACGGGGCCGGGCACTGGGCAGGAACGGGGCCGGGCGCTGGGCAGGTACGGGGCCGGGCGTTGGCAGGTACAGGGCCGGGCGTTGGGCAGGTACGGGGCCGAGCGCTGGGCAGGTTCGGGGCCGGGCGCTGGGCAGGGACGGGGCCGGGCGCTGGGCAGGTAAGGGGCCGGGTGCTGGGCAGGTACGGGGCCGGGCGTTGGGCAGGTACGGGGCCGGGCGCTGGGCAGGGACGGGGCCGGGCGCTGGGCAGGTAAGGGGCCGGGCACTGGGAAGGAACAGGGCCGGGCGCTGGGCAGGTACGGTGCCGGGCGCTGGGCAGGTACGGGGCCGGGCGCTGGGCAGGTACGGGGCCGGGCGCTGGGCAGGTACGGGGCCAGGCTCTGGGCAGGTACGGGGCCGGGCGCTGGCAGGTACAGGGCCGGGCGCTGGGCAGGTACGGGGCCGGGCGCTGGGCAGGTTCGGGGCCGGGCGCTGGGCAGGTACGGGGCCGGGCGCTGGGCAGGTACGGGGCTGGGCGCTGGGCTAGGGACGGGGCCGGGTGCTGGGCAGGTATAGGGCCGGGCGTTGGGCAGGTACGGGGCCGGGCGCTGGGCAGGGACGGGGCCGGGCGCTGGGCGCGAAATGGGGCCGGGCGCGGGGCTAGGTACGGGGCCGGGCGCGAGGCTAGGTACGGGCCGTGCGCTGGGCTAGGTACGGGCCGGGCGCGGGGCTATGTACGAGCCGAGCGTGGGCTAGGTGAGGGGCCGGGCGCTGGCTAGGGTCGGGGCCGTGCGCTGGGCTAGGTACGGGCCAGGCGCGGGGCTAGGTACGAGCCGAGCGCGGACGAGAGACGGGGCCGGGCGCGGGCAGGGTACGGGCCGGTCGCGAGGCTAGGTACGGGCCGGGCGCGGGGCTAGGAACGGGGCCGAGCGCGGGAAGGGTACGGGCCGATCGCGGGGCTAGGAACGGGGCCGAGCGCGAGGCTAGGTATGGGCCGATCGCAGGGCTAGGAACGGGCCGGGCGCGGGCGACGGAATCGACGGGGCCAGCGGGGCCGAGCTAGGGACGACGGACCAAGGGGCCGAGCGCGGGGCGATGGAGTCGACGGGGCCAAGGGGCCGAGGCGACGGGGCCAAGGGGCCGAGCCTAGGGGCTAGGGGCGACGCCAAGGGGCGACGGGCCGGGGCCTAGGCTATTAGGGCAGTAGGTGGTGGCCCCATTAAGATTAGGTCCTAGGAAATTTTCGCTCTGATACCATGTTAGAATCCTAGCGTGACTTAGGAGCCATGGCTAGTGAGTGTCGAGAGAATTGGAAAGGAGAATGAGTGGTTTCACTAGCAAGAGTTGGGATACAAATACAACACCCTAAATTGGGTTGTACTCATTACAGAGTACCCCACTGCAGGCTAGACAGCAAATACATTCTGACAATCCATTCTCGTTCAGTATTCTGACATGGTATCAGAGAAGGTCCTGTTCTAGGACCGATTTTTTTAGGGCCCACCTCAGAGCGCTGCCCCATTAGCTGCCCTGCCGCCCTGCCCTAACTATCGCGCCGCTTTGCTGGCCGCTGTGCCGCCCTTAGCAGCCCACACGCCGCCCTTTGCAGCCCGTCGTGCTGCCCTTTGCAGCCCGTCGTGCTGCCCTTTGCAGCCCGCGCGTCGCCCCTGCAGCCCGCGAGCTGCCCCTGCAGCCCGCGCGCCGCCTCTAGCAGCCCGCGCGCCGCCCCTGCAGCCCGCTCGCCCCCTGTCTGCGGCCCGCTCGCCGCCCCTGCAGCCCGCTCGCCGCCCGCTTGCGGCTCGCTCGCCGCCCCTTGCAGCCCGCGCGAGAGCCTGTGTCAAAGAGACCTAACTGCACACAACACCTCTGGTGGTCACAAGGCGGCAGGGCCTTGGTGAAGATGTCTGCAGTGTTGGCCTCGGACTCAACAAAGTCGAAACGAGCCTTTCCACGCCTCTGCAACTCTCGCAAAAGAAAGTACCTGATGTTAATGTGCTTCACTCTGCTCTCCAGTCGCGGCTCTCGACAGAGGAGAATCGTTGCCTTGTTATCAGTGAACAAGGTCGGCGCAGAGCTCGGCCGCTCACTAAGGTCAGTGAGCAAGAACGTCAGCCAGCGCAGCTCCTGTGCAGCCATAGCTCCAGCGTAGATCTCGGCCTCAGCAGTTGAGGTCGAGACTGAGGAGGAACGTGTGGACCTCCACGAAACAGCTCCAGAGCCCAGGCTGAAACAGTACCCCTGAGTAGTTCTGTGCGACTCGGCGTCGTCGGCGTAAGAAGAGTCACAATGACCAGTAAGCACGACGTCCTGCCTCCCTCCAAGAACCAGCCCCACGCGTGATGTCGTCGCTAGGTACTTCGCCACCCTCACAACAGCTGTCCAGTGAACTGGACGGTGTCTCCTTGGCGCAACAAAGCGAGCAAGAATGCTGAGAGGGAAGGCGAGGTCTGGGCGAGTACAAGTCATCAGGTACATGAGGCAGCCCACAAGCTCTGCGTAAGGACCACTAGGCTCGAACGGCTCGTCAGGAAAGGGTCCGGTGAGTCTATGGTCAACGGCAAGAGGTGTGCGCTGTACAGTAGAGTGCTGAAGCTCGAATTGCTGAAGGACTTGCTGCACCATGTGTGACTGTAAGAGTGTAATGGTGCGAGCAGCTCTGTCCCTGGTGATCTGCAGGCCAAGGTAGTGGCGCAGCTCACCAAGGTCAGTGCAAGTGTGTCTCTTCTGCAGTTTGAGCTTCATGTCAGCCGAAGCAGCCCTGTCAGCAGTGGCGAAAACCAGGTCATCGACGTAGACTAGTACAAAGAACGGTGTGGAGCCACGATGAACGAACAGCGACGGGTCGGCAGAAGAAGGCTGGAAACCAAGGTCAGAAAGGGTAGAGCGAAGGGTGTCGTGCCACTCACGAGGAGCCTGACGGAGACCGTAGACCGGTCGCCTAAGCCTCCACTGGGTCCCAGGAGGGAAAGGGCCAGTGAAGGCAGAGGGACGGCGTAACCAGACCTCCTCTTGTAGGCTACCCGGAAGGAAAGCAGTGGAGAAGTCAAGAGAGTGTAACTCGTAGTCTCTCTGTGCTGCTACGTGGAGTAACACCCGAAGAGTGGTCATCTTCGGGGTAGGCGCAAAGGTCTGAAAGAAGTCAACTCCCTCGCGCTGACTGAAATCTCTAGCCACATAGCGCGCCTTGAAGACCGGAGGAGATCCCGGTGGCCGCTTCACCCTGAAGATCCACATGCCATCGACTACGTTCGCCCCAAGGGGGGGAACCTCGTCGGCGTAGGTGCCTGTGGATCTGTAGGAGGCCATCTCTGAGTCCATGGCAGCTCTCCACTGAGAGGCCCAAGGCCCTGACACTTCCCCAGCGTAAGTGCGAGGAATCGGTATGTCAAGGGCGTCGAGGTCTCCTTCAGGGGCGAGCAGCATGGCACAGAGATGAGGGGAAGCGGCTGCCAAGAACTCCAGCTCAAACTGCCTGTCCTCTAGGGCGTCACAACTAAGGGCAGACTCACCCCCGATGGCCAGAGGACTGGTAGGAGGAGCAGCCACAAGACTGGTGGCGTAGTCAAGGCAGCGAGTAGAGGCAAACTCAGTGACTGCGGCAGTAAGAGCGGAGACAGAGGACAGAGAAGCACGTGGGTCGGTAACAAGAGATGCGAGAACACGAGAGAGAACAGGCTGGTACGTGCGGTAGTAGTCTGGGACAGGAGTAGAGAGGGAAGCAGTGAGAGCCGACTCAGGAGGAGAAGGAAGTATAGAAGGAGACAAACGAGGCGGGCTAGAACGAAACAGGGCAGTACGAAGGTCAGTGAAGGGAACAGGGGACGAGGGACGAGCACGAGGAGAGCGACACGAAGGCCAAGTGTGAGAAAGAGGAGGGGACAACGGGGGCAGAGGAGGAGGGAAAACAGCTGGGGAGGGGTCAGGAGGAGGAAGCGGAGGACCAGAGACGGGAGGAGAGGGGGGGGAGGGAGGAGAAGGAGAGGGGAGACCGAGGGTCCGAAGACCAGAGACATGAGGAGGAGGTGGCTGCTGCTACTGCTGCTGCTGCTGCTGCGGTTGCTCCTGCTCCGGTGCTGCTGCTGCTGCTGCTGCTCCTCCAGCCGCTATATCTCCAGCTGCTGCCGCTCCAACTCTCTCTCCTCTCGCTCCAACTGCAGCTGCTCCTCACGGGCACGGCAAACATGGGCCTGGTGCCGGGTCAGGTAGGGGTGAGGGGGAGGAGTAGTGTCCGGAGCGGTGGTAGCCCCAGGACCGCTCTCCAAAGAACCAGTCGCACCACCCCCAGAGCTAGCACCACAAGAAGTAACAGGGTCCGTCCCAGGCTCTCCAGGTCCAGCAGAGGGCGCACCCCCAGTCGTAGCACCCCCAGGGACAGCTCCACTAACACCAGCTCCCCGAAGACTAGAGTCTCCTACAGTCACGGGCTCAGCTCTAACTCCAGCACCCCCAGAACCAGGACCTCGCACAGGTACACTCTCTGCTCCAACTCCAGCACCTCTAGAGCTAGCACCTCCAGGGTCCTCGCCACGAAAACCGGCCCCCGCAGGGTCTGCTGTAGGGTGGGAGGAGGACTGCGGGGAAGGAGGCTGCACCTGAGGGGCTACCGAGGGGGGAGGGGTAGCGTGGGACACACCTGACGGGGCAAGACCAGGGGGGGGAGGCTGTACCAGGGGAGCAGGAGGGGGAGCTGAAGTCAGGAAGAGAGGGGCAGGAGGAACCGGGAGACCTCAACAGGGGTACCTGACGTAGTAGGGGACCGACTCGTCGAAACAGACGTCACGAGAGTCAAAGAACCGGTGAAGGGGAGGGTGGTAAAAGGTGTAGTCAGACAAGTCCTCACGGAAACCAAGGAACACGCAGGAAACAGCGCGAAGCGAGATCTTGTCCGCGGAGGTGTCGCGAACAAGTGCCAAGCAACCCCAGACATGAAAACGCGACGCAGCACCAGGGGACCCGGACCAAAGACTGGTCGGTGAAACCTCTGGCTGAGAGACACGTGGCCAAAGGTTCAGCTGGTGAGCGGCGTACCGAACCGTGTAGGGCCACAGAAAATGGGGGGCATGGGCGTGAGTCATGGAGGTGCGGGCGATCTCCATGACCAAGCCTATGCGGCGCTCAGCAACCCCATTATGCTGTGGGGACTCTGGAAGCGTCCTGGACTGACGGATGGCCTGCTCGCGACAAAATCCAGCGAGAATGTCAGAGCGAAACTCACCCCCGCGGTCGAAGTGAAGACAGCTGACACGACGACCACGAGTGTCCGCAGTGGTAAGCAACCACCGGATCAGCGTAGAAGTCACGTCAGACTTCTTCGCCAGGGGGAACACTGTGGTGTAGCGGGAGTAGTCGTCAACGACCATGAGAAAGAAACTCTCTCGCTCAGGGCAGGGCGCGAGGCGGGGCCCCAGGCGTCCAAGTGGAGAGTCTCGAAGGGCTCGGTGGCCGGACGAAGGGAGGAGTGAGGGGTGGCGCGTAGCCGACCCTCGACGCAGGGACCGCAGGGTGGTGCAAGCGAAGGCGGCAACGGCGGCAAGACACGCGGGAGGC